CTGACCATCAGAGGCCGTGGCTTCCCCACCATGCTGGGCGGCTTCTCAGCAGATGTGCCAGGAGGGAACCGATGAGTAGCATGATTGCTGGGTGATGGACAGAGCGAATGAATGAATGAGCAAGTGGATGGCCGGATGACAGAAGGAAGGAGGACGCCAGTGCCGAAGTGATTTCACAGAGTGAATGAATGAACCATGACTGAATCCAGGACCAAATGAACACCCCAAGCCCGACAGAGCTCAGGCATCACACAGCACGGTGTCTGGTGCCCTGGCTAGACCCATGCTCTGACACCAGGGTCTGTGCATGATTTAACGGACCTCTCCAGGGTTGCAGGGAAGTGAGGGAGCCGCATGACAAAGATGAATTTCACCAAATCCAGCACATTTCTCACCACCAATTAATTAAGTGGGCCTCAGCGGGGGCCCAGGCCAGCAAATCAGCCAAAGGCTGGGACTTTGACATCATCTGACTAGTGCATGAATTGGGCCTTGTTAGTGCGTGGCTGGCAAGAGCCCCTGGGCACCACACTCCACATCCTGTCTTCACCTCCCCTGTCATGCTGTGGTTTCTACAATCCAGCCTGTCTCTGGGCTTCTCCACCCTCTACTCTAAACACTAACAATGGCCAACCTCACTGGAGCCTCTGAGGCCAGAGATCACACCGCTGGGGCAGGTGTGGGCAAGACCTGGGGAGGGGGCATGGCAGGGGTGGGAGAGACCCTGAGCCTTTCCTGGGTCTAGGACTTCTCTCAACTTTGGAAGCAGCATGCTATGAGGAGAAGAACGTGGATGTTGGCCTCAGGATGTCGGATTTGAGTCCTGGGTCCACGTGATGGTTCCCAGCCCAGGCTGACTCTGGCTCGGGCGAGCCGCGATTACATGACGGCTGGACCACTCATTGGCTGTGTGCTCTTGAGCAAGGGGCTTCACTTCTCTGAGTCTCCCATCCTTCTGGAAACAAGGAGGATAATCACAGCACCAGAGGAATAACGGTTACATGACACAATGAAAAGAAGGGCTTAGCAAAGTGCTTGCCCAAAGCAAGTATTCGCTGTTAGTTACTGTCCTGTTCATCATTGTCACAGTGATCTTATTACCTGTTAGAGCAGGGGTCAATAAACATTTTCTGCCGAGGGCCAGATAGGAAATCGTTCTGGCTCTGTGGGCTGTATGGCTTCTTACAATTATTCAGCTCAGCCACTGTAGCACAAAGGTAGACCGTGAAGGAGCATGCCAGATCCACTACAACTTTCTGGGTCAAAAACTTGAATTTGAATTTCACAGAATTTTCATGGGCCACAAAATGTTATTTCTACTTCTGATTTTTTTTAACCATTTAAAAATGGGGAGGAGGGGGCTTTTCTGCTCACAGGCTGTACCGAAACAGGCAGCAGGCTGAATGTGATCCACAGCCCACGGCTCACCCCACCCCCTGCACTCGAATGGAAGCTCCATGAGGACGAGGGGGGTTGTCTGTTTTGTTCATGGCTAAACTCCCAACAAGGGTGCCTGGAAAGAGCAGTCAAAAATATTTGCTGAAGCCATCAAAAGGAATGAGATCTTGCCATTTGCAACGACGTGGATGGAACTGGAGGGTATTATGTTGAGTGAAATAAGTCAAACAGAGAAAGAC